TGTGTGTGTGTGTGAGTGAGTGAGTGAGTCTGTGTGTGTGTGATTCTGTGTGTGTGTGTGATTCTGTGTGTGTGATTCTGTGTGTGAGAGTCTGTGTGTGTGTGATTTTGTGTGTGTGTGTGTGTGATTCTCTGTGTGATTCTGTGTGTGTGTGTGTGTGTGTAGCTGGTAGTTTCTCTCTTAGGGATGAAATTAGTCTCCAGCTCTCTTCACATGAGCGTTTGTCAGAATCATCTCCACTGTCTGAATCTGCGTACTGAACACACACACACACACACAGACACAGACACAAACACGATAGTGTAACTCAGCTAACAGACCTGATATACACTACCGTTTCAAAAGTTTGAAATCAGTAATTTTTTAATGAGAGAATTCTTCAAAAATAAGGTACAGACCCAAAAGTCTGTCTGTGTGTGTGTGTGTGTGAGTGTAAGAGTGTGTGTGTGTGTGTTTGCGTGTGAGTGTGTGTGTGTGCGTGAGTGTGTGTGTGTGTGTGTGTGCGTATGCGTGAGAGTGTGTGTGTGTGCGTGAGAGTGTGTCCTGTGTATGTGTGTGTGTGCATGCGTGTGTGAGAGTGTGTACGAGTGTGAGTGTGTGCGCGTGTGCGAGAGTGTGTGAGTGTGTGTGTGTGTGTGTGTGAGTATCTCTCACCAGTCTCTGTTGCTCCAGCAGTAGATCTGCTTCCTCTTTCTCTCGCCGATACTGAATCTCCACATCCTGTAACCTGAGACAGAGTGAGTGTGTGTGTGTGTGTGAGTGAGTGTGTGAGTGAGTGATTGTGTGTGTGTGTGAGTGAGTGCGTCTGAGTATGTGAGTGAGCGCCTGCTCCGGGTGATTGAACCTAAACACGTGGCTCTTGCCCATCACGATGCGGTTGCCTGCGTCACGAGAGGTCCAGCTCAGGGTCATGTGATCACAAGGACGGCGGGTTCACGCTCATTCGAACACACTCACCCTGTTTGAGCAACACACACTCGGTGATCTGCTTCCCGTTCACGTACGTCTCCGCTCCCTCCAGCGGCTCCAGAGTCACGGCCACTGCGCACACACAGGAAGTGATGTCATCACGGTGTACACGGTATGCTAATGAGAAGGGCGGGGCTCCTCAGAGCTCACAGCTGGTTGAAGAAGACTCCGCCTCCTGTAGGCCCCGCCCACAGCGGCTCAAACTGCACTTATGAATCATCTGATTTTTGCTTTGTGTCGACCAAATTCAAAATAAACAGGAAATAATCAAATGAGATGAAGCAGCTTTCTTTGGTCAGGGATTGATGTACATGCAAATAGCGCCACTTGTACGTTTACTGTGATTTTAAATGAGTTTGGTGTGATGAAAGACAACCTGCTACTTAACTTACCAATGCAAATGTACTGATTCACATCATGCCAATGAAGCACATGAACACAGAGAAACTCAGACGACACACAGACTGATTGTATGTGGTGAAATAGGAAAATACATGACATGTATAAATGTATGATAGTGTGATCGCAACAGGAGGAGGAGGAGGAGGGTGCTGAGGAAGGACAGATGAAGGAGCTTGTGATTGATTTACAGATGATACCTGTGTCAAATCCCAGCAACTGTTCCACCGACAGAGAGAAAACCAGCACAGTACATGAGTGTGTGTTACTGACACACACACACTCTCTCACACACTCACACACACACACACACACAC